CACACACACACACACACACACACACACACACACACACACACACACACACACACACACAGCAATTAAACTAAACGATACAGATTGAAGCCAAGACGCATGCACACACACTCACACACTTACAGACAAATAGGCTGAGTGTGCATGGAGTGCTGTCAATCAAACCTGCTGTAGAAAAGAGGAACGTTTTAGCTCACAGGATGTTGAGTAACTGCACAGGGAAGTTTAAAAGTACATTTAAAGATTTGCACTYGCTTACTTAGATTTGAAACAACTTACTGGCTCTTATTGGGGMTTTATTCAGCCAGAACTGCCACACTCAAATAAAACTGACTGAAATAATCACTGCAGAAAGCTCCAGGACAGCATTAAATTCTTGAATGCAAGTCACATCATGCTTAAAACTCCTGATGCCCTTGGGTCAAAACGACAAAAACCTAACTTATACATTTTCTTCTATTAAAATCAACCATTAACCTTCATTTATTATTGTAATAAAAAGCCAAAACTTTCAAAAGGCCAGAAAAAAAGTTGCTGAGGACTCAGGAGAAAATGCATTTAGCAGATGTGATTTATTGGTTTTCAGTGGCTCAAGCTTTAAAAAAAGTGACATCTGGTGGACACAAAAGGTACTGCAACTTAGAATATTTGTAGAGGTTGGTGACGTGTATCGAAATCTAAATAATATTATATGAAAAGTAGCAAAATACAAGCTAAAAATAGGAAAACATTAACTGAAAGCTAAAGGTGGTATAATTGTAGATAAAAAATAAAGGTTGTCTAAAAAGACAAAAATAATGAATGCAACAAGAATGTTTTTGAAAGAAATTAAGAGATCTCGATGTATAACAGTAATAACAGAAAAAAACAATCTGCATTCTTCCGGGCCTTACAATGTAAAAATACATAAGACCCATCAATTGTAGTTTTTGTTGTATTTACAGTCAGTGGCCGCCAGAGGGCGGTGTCGCACCACTTATCAAACATGACATCATAGTGTTTTGTCTTGTTCAGTTCTTCTTAACACTTAAATATACTTTATGACTTTTTATGCTCTCCAGTTTGAAGTTTTAAAAGTTCTATGATTATAAAAACTAACTTTTTTAATTTAAAGAGTAATAAAACAGAAAAAAGTTACATTTCGGTATATTATTATAGAGTATTGATGCTTGGACCTGCTACTCCCCATCTTCTCCTCCCACTTATCTACCTGAATGGAAATGTCATCTGCAGGCGGGGAGTGGAGGGTCGGCTTTTAGACTCTACTTGGAGTTGTTTGAATTACGTTTTGTTTCCTGTGATTTACTTTTTTTTGTGTGTCGTTCTCCTCCTCAGTGACAGGAGAGCCCTCACCAGGATGGCTGCTCTCCCCAAGCAGCGGATCTTATTACGGGTGATGTGCGGCTTGTTCCTCGCCGGGATAACAGCAACAAAGGGTAAGTTTTCATCTCAAGTTGTCAAGAGTTTTACTTTTTAATAATTATATATTTTTATAATTAGAATAAAAAACGTGTCATGTCTTTATTATATTTTAAATTGTGTTTAGTTTAAGAAGATAGATAGATAGATAGATAGATAGATAGATAGATAGA